ACTCACCAATGAGGCACAGCCCCTCCTGAGCCCGGGTGATGGCCACGTTCACTTGGTTGGGGTCCACCACAAAACCCAGGAACTTCTTCAGCCAGCCCTTGGTGGGCCGCTGGTCCACGTCACCCTCTGGGCAGGATCGGACGGTGCTGACCAGCACGTACCGCCATTCGCTGCCTGCAGGAGGGTGCACTTGAGGCCCCTGGCCCCCAGCAGCACCCTCCCCCCAGCCCTTCTCGGCTCCCGGAAGCCCTTCTGCCAGTCAGCTCCCCAGCCGTGGCGTGCCCCCAGGCCCTGCCCACCACGGCCCCATTCCCCCAGCAGCGCCCCCAGGCCCCGCCAGCCCCGCCCCCAGCCCCAGCCCGCGGAGGCACCCCACCCTGGCTCTTGGTGATGGAGCACACGGTCACCCCCGTGACGCCCTCTCTCAGAAGGCCCCTGTTGATCTCGGCTGCCTGTGCGTTGTAGGGCGTGAGGATGGCGATGTCCCTGGGGTCCACCGTCTTCCCCAGGGTCAGCTGCTTGGCTATGCGCACCTGTGAGACGGCGTGCGGTGATGCCTGCCCTGACCCTCTGCCAGCACCGGGCCTTAGCGGTGTCCAGCCCGCCCTGCCAGGCGGCCCCGGCACTCACCACCTGCGCCACCTCCTCCAGATTGGCCTTGGAGTTCTCGTTCCCTTCGTCCGTGGACACCAGCAGGCTCTGCTCGTGGCCCTGCACGTGGCCAAAGAGGACGGGGCAGCTGTCCCGTTGGGCGTGGCCCAGGACGCTGGGCGGCCGGCGCAGCCCCTTCCAGGTCTTCAGCTGTCGCCGGTAGAACTCCGCGGAGGGGAAGGCACAGATGCCCTCGTGCTGCAGAGGGCGCCAGCGGTCAGCGGGGCGCCCCGCGCGGCGCCGCCCCGCCCCCGAGTGCTCACCATGCGGTACTGCGTGTCCAGCATGTAGGCGTCCTTCTGGTACCTCTCGAAGAGAGACCGGTCCAGCCCCAGGTTCTGCAACTGCTCGTTCTTGACGACCGGCCGCAGCTGCTTGTGGTCCCCCAGGAGCACCACCTGCGGCAGACGACTGTGACCGGCCCGGCCGCCGCCTCCGGACACCCGCGCCCACGCCCCGCCCGGCCGGGCGGGGCGCGCTGCCGGGGCAGTTTCAGAGTTGTGCCTTCGAGTGAGGGAATTCTAGAAAAGGTTTGGTCACAATCGTGCTGAAACTTGGACAGCCGCGGCCTGCTGTGCTGTGTCCAGACGGTGTGTGTCTGTTCATGGCCCTGTGGCCGGCCCGGCCGCCGCCTCCGCGCCCCTGGCACCACCCGGCAATCCCGGGGCGCCCTCC